ATCAATGGAGAAACGTGATCTACAACAATTCTTTGCCTGGCCAGTTGCAGATGTCATTGCACCGGGATACTCTCAGATCATTAGTAATCCTATGGATTTCAGTACCATAAGGCAGAAAATAGGTGATAAGAGCTGTCAAAATTAAAATGAATTTGTAGATGACTTCAAATTAATGTGTGACAGCCAAAACGTACAATCATCCAGATACAATTTATTACAAGGCAGCAAACAATATATTGCCCGTTGGCCTAAATATGGTTACAACAAGAAAGCTTCGCCAACTAAGTCCTGTATTAACTTACATGCAGGACATGTCGAAAGAAGTACTTGGTTTTGAATTAGGTACGGAATATCTTCATATTTCAGATGTTCCTTTAACGGAGCAGCAATTCGAACAGGAACGGGAACGGGAACAGGAAGAGCGTAATGAAAGGGCAGAATAACTTAGAAAATAGAATCAGAGGAAATTGAGAATAGCAAATTAAGTAAATTTGAAGCCATTCCAGATGGTATGACGCCGGAGGAAATCATAAAACAAGTTCGAGGAGCCGCAAAAGCGGCATCGGGTAAGTTAACGTTGAAAAGTTTGAATTCTAAAGTGGATTTCCTTCGACAAAGGGAAGATGGGACAATCACTTTACATAACAAAGTACAGGGAGACGGCGTAATTCCAGGAACTAATCAAAGACCAGTCTCGTTGTTGCATCTTATAGGTAAATTGAACAACGGCAAAGGAGCATTAGCAGGATTCCGAAAATATAGAAGAAATACTTCGAAACCAATAAAACCTTTGTATTACGGTGCCTTTGATTCTTGGGATGAGGTTCTTGGTTCTTGAAACAGACATATTGTGTCAGAACCGGTTATGAAATACGGTTATGAAATTGCTGTGCAATACGCAGAATCCATATTAGACAATGTTAAATACTGTGATTATACATTAATTATGTTCGATGACCTGTTGGAAATTCTGATAGGAGATCACAGAAAGACTAAAAAATTCCTCGAGGAAAAACGTAGACGCAAAGAAGGGGAAGAGTAGATAAAACATGTATTAAAGAAACCTATCGAGATGTTAATCGCAATTTTCTAGTATGGACAGTGGAAAAGTTGACATCGATCAATTGATAACGCTATCATGTTTAGGAGTTGATGTACATGTCATGGAAAGAATGGGTAATTACATTCAAAGAAATTCAAGCATCTCTACGTATCAGCAGTCTTTACTTTACACTTTCTCTTTTGTAGGAGAGGAATTGAAGCTGAACGAGTAACACGCAGCTTTCCAAAGTCTGGACGACACGTTGCAAATGTTAGGCCGTTTGAAGTAAGTGTTGTACGAAAGTTTCTCGGCCCCACCGCCTGCTCACATATCCAATGCTCCTAAATCATCATCAGCAGAAGCCATGTGATGATAGCCGACAAAGTCATAGAATAATCTAAGAAAGATAGCGAAAAAACTTCCTCCTTCTGTTATTGCTCCTATTGACGGTTAGCGGAAAGTTATAGGCACAGTATCTCTAGGTGAATCAGAGACTATGAAAATGGAACAGATCGCGCATAAGGCAACAATCGTCGCGGTAAATAATCTCTTATCGCAAACTATCGGCAATCAAGTTCCGATGAACCTGTTGCCGCATCCACCACCATTTTAAAATACTAACTTTCTCATTCCAACCGGTCAACTAATCAACCGAACAATATTGTAAATAGGAATCAACCATCTATTCAGATACCAAATGATATGACTCACAGTCGGACACTTCCGTCCCTATTGAGAACATCAGAGTCTTCTGCGGTTCCAGATTTAGTATCATATCGCAAAAAATATCTAGAAAGTAATCCTATATTAGCACATTCACCACTACACAATGACAAAGCATTGGAGGACATTCTATCCGAGACTTAGTATATATGATTCTCGAAGTATGTGATTTTTATTATGATTTATCTACTAAAACGTTGTTAATTTCATTAAATATGTGCACTAAGTTTAATGCCA